AGAGAGACAGAGAGACAGAGAGACAGAGAGACAGAGAGACAGAGAGAAACGAGACCCCAAACAAGCCCACGTCCAATTACTGAAAATTGTCAACATGACTTCATTTGGGGAAGGGTCTTTGCAGATGTGATTAGATTAACGATCTGGGTCTTGGGGTAACCCCGGCCCTGCAGGGGCCCTACATTTCGGTAGCGAACATCCCAAGGGCAGAAGGAAGCCGGTGGCAGACGCCTATAATCCAAGACTACGTGCTCCCACCTAGCCAAGATGTCGTCTGACGGCAAGACTGCATCCACCCAAAAGAGCCAAAGGAATAATAGTTCAATGTGAAAAGTGGAGATTTGCCTCGGGTGACTACTTTAGATGTTCATAATGTTTTGTTTTTTATGCGTGCGCTTGAGAGTCTTCCTCTGCAGTCCCTTCAAACTCGCTGCCTACCAGGCTGGCCTCAGACTCAGTCTTCCTGCCTCAGCCTCCTGAGTGCCGGGATTACAGGTACACTCCACCGTGCCTGGTCTGAACGAGACTGTTTAAAGTGCCGAATGAATTTCCTTTGTGTTCCTGTAAAGACCGTTGAAGTGGGCTCTTCACATTTCAGAAGCTGAGTTCAGAATAGATATATGGAGTTTTACAATCCTGACAGGCTTCTGAAATACAAACGGGGAGAAATAAGCTAGTAAACTTAGAATATGTGTCAGAAAAGCCTCTAAAAAGAAATTCTGCTTCTAGGAGCTGGGTGGCCTGACAAAGCCAAGTACTGTTTTTTTTCCCTGGACTGAGGTAAAGCATTTACCTATGAGGCTGATTTAGCAGAGAGGGACCACACCTTCCTTGGAGACTGCACCCCCACTCTCCTTTCCCACCCCACTCTTCCCTGGTAGGGGTGTGGTGGGGGGATGAGGGAGTATTACTGGGAGCCGAGCCACTGCTTACTCCTGCTTTCTGGGGTGCACCTGTGCCCCCATCCTTGGGACCCTCTATCTCATTTCTTGTTGGTGTTTTTGTTTTTGTTTTTGTTTTTGTTTATGTGGTACAGGGGATCAAACTCAGGACCTTGAGCTTGCCAGACAGGCGCTTACATTGCTGAGCTATCTCCCCGGCCCTTTCCTGTCTCACTGCAAGGAACCTGTCATCCAGAGCTGTCACTCACCCAGCTTGTTGGGGGCCACTTCTTGGAACACAGGGGCAGCATAGTGAATGTCCTGGGAGCATCCTGTGTGGGGCAGAAGACGCAGTTATCAGCAGGTTCTGAGTCTCCAGACCACAAGGGGGCAGTGGCGTCCAGGCTGTGGGCCTTACTGAGCCCCTTGGCCTTGTGGGGCTGTGGACGTGCATGGCCTTGACCCCAAGATGGCAGAGTTCCCTTTTGTAAAACAGTAAGCACCGAACTCGGGAGTGGAGAGCGTCGTGCTAGAGCAGGGAGAGCCCTTAGGGCAGCACTCAGAAGGTGGCCGGTGTGGTCAGGTTGGCCAGGAGGGAGCTGAAGGTCAGCAGGTCAGCCAGGCCCTGCATCTGCTTCGTAAGAAAGCACCCTGCGATGCCCGATGCCCGGGAAGAGCTAGGCATGGATTGTGCAACAGGGTGACAGCAGTTAATGACAAGGCACTGAGTCAGGGCAGAAGGCCACGCCTGTCACCCCAGCACTTGGAATATTTATTTATTTTTATTTATTACATTTATTTATTGTGTGTGTGGCCAGCTCAGCCCACCAGGGGGCGGGGCTGGCTGGCATGTGGTGCTGGGGATCGAACCGCGGTCCCTGTGCTTTGCCAAGCTTGTTTCAAGTAGGTGCTTTAGACCACTGAGCCATCTCTCCAGCCCCAACCCCAGCACTTTGAAAGGCTTAGCAGGGTGTGGTAGCGCACAGGGGAGGCTGAGGCAGGAGGATCACTGCAAGTTCAAGGGCAGCCTGGGCTGCAAAGTGAGTTCAAGCTGTTCTGAACTGCATGGTGAGACTCTGTCTGAAGAAGACAAGAAGTGAAAAAAAAAAAAAAAAAAGGATTTTGAGTTCAGGTCCTATTTGGAAATTTAGTAAAAAATCTGTCTATAAAACAAAGACAAAAATCCAGAAACTTATCAAAAGGCTGCAAGCCATAGCCCAGTGTAGGAAGGGCCTCAGCTCGACCCTGCACTGCCAACCAAGCCAACCAGGCCAAAGGTGAGGCTGGGTCATCACTAGGAAGTGGGTGTGACATGGCCCACAGCACTTGCCTACCATGCGTAAGGTTCTAGGTTTGGTCCCCAGGACTGCAGAACCAAAGGCAAAAAGCCAATGTACATATATTTCAAAACAACATATTATACAGGACTTTTTTTTTTTGTACTGCTAGGCAAGCACTCTACCTCTACCATTGAGCAGCATTCCTTGCCTTTGATATGTTTTACAGGATCTCAATGTGTGGTAAGGCTGGCCTCAAACTTGAGGTGATCCTCCTGCCTCAGCCTCCTAAGTGCTGGGATTACATGCATGTGCTACCACACCCAGTTGTAGTTTTATTTTTAATTTTATTTTTAATTTTTTTCTGGTGGAACCAGGGATTGAACTCAGACCCTTGCGCTTGCCAGGCAAGCGCTTATTCTACTGAGCTATCTCCCCGTCCTCTTGTAGTTTTATTTTTAAATAGTCTTGCTAAGTTACCCAAGGCCATCCTAAAACTTGAGATCCTTCTGCTTCAGCACCCTCAGTAGCTGGGATTATATGCTATACCATTACATCTGATTTCTTGTTTTTGTCAATTAAAATACATTTTAAAGCATCTTTTTTTGGTAGTAGGACTTGAACTTGGGGCCTCGAGTTTGCCAGACAGGCACTGTGCCACTGAGCTACATCCTTGGCCCCTCAAAGTATCTTTTGGGTTTTGGGGGGGAAAGGAGACTGGGAACTAAACTCAGGACCTTGAACTTGCTGGGCAAGTGCTTGTGCCATTGAGCTATATTCCAGGCCCCAAGTATCCTTAAAAAGATGTTAATAAAAAAGCTTTGGAACAAGTGTGTAATGTTCTGAGTAGATATAAGAAGTCCCTAAGATACGTGACAAAAGTGTCAAGTGAAAACACTGAGGTGCAGAATGGCCTTCCAGAGACATGTGAATGTCACTCCATGGAACTTTACACAGCCACGCTGGCCCTGGACAGTGAGAGAGGACACGCGGGTGGCGGGGAGACATCCCACTCCATCGCTCTGGCTCTCTATGAACCCCAAGCCAGCCGGCGCTCCCCAGAGGGCCATGAGTGCTCTCCTACCTGCTTGGTCTGCACAGACGTTCTCGTACAGGTCAGCTTCCGCGGGGTCCTTGGGCCGACTCTCTCTCGCAGCTTTTCCTACACAAATTGGTACAAAGTCACCACGCTGAGCCAGTTCAGACATTTGCTGTCTCTTCTCCCAACCAGCAGAATCCCCGAAGTTCTGGAGGGCGACCCATGCCCTCCAGTGACGAGGCTGCTGCCTACGGGGGCGCCCGCAGTTCGTCTAAGGGCCTGCTCCCCAGCAGGGCCCCCAACTCCCTCCTGCGGCCTTGAGGAAGGTGCTTTCCCCGTTGGATTACATGGAACACGGCCAGGCAGGGTTTCTTCCTCCCCAAACAGAAGAGTCCGTGAGAAGCTTTGTAACAGCTTCAGGAGGCAGCTGGGTTCTACTTCAGTCATAACCAAGAATATTAACGATGCCAGGCGTGGTGGTGCCCACCTGTAATCCCAGCACCCGGAGGCTGAGGCAGGAGGACTGCCAAGAGTGTGAGGCCAGCCTGGGCCTCACAGTGAGCTCGGCGCCAACCTGAAGCACTAATGAGGCGCGGTCTCAACCCCGCCTCCCAACCCAAAGGGCAAATGTCAGCCTCCGCATGCTTCACCACTGCTTAAAAAATAATTTTGAAAAGAATACAAAAGTACTGAGAAGTTCAGCTGGTGGCAGGTCTCAGTGCTCCCCTGGGCAGGGGCTGGGCAACCCACAGGCCGCCCCCTGCCTGCAGCCTACATCAAGACAGCCGCAGCAGAGACTGGAAGCGCGACCTGGCCCCGCGCGTGGCCCCCGGAAGTCTGTCTCACGGCCCTCTTCTGACTTTCCTTCGTCCCGCCCCGTCCGCCTCACCCCGCCCCCTCCTCCCCTCCTCCGCTCCTCTCCTCCTCCCCTCCTCCTCCTCCCTTGCTCTCCTCCTCCCTGCCCCTGCCCTCCCCTCCCCTCCTCCCTGCCCTCCCCTCCCCTCCTCCCTGCCCTTGCCCTCCCCTCCCCTCCTCCCTGCCCTCCCCTCCCCTCCCCTCCTCCCTGCCCTCCTCCCTGCCCTCCTCCCTGCCTCCTCCCTGCCCTCCTCCCTGCCCTCCCCTCCCCTCCCCTCCTCCCTGCCCTCCCCTCCCCTCCTCCCTGCCCTCCATGGTATCCAAAGCCTGTGGGGAAACGGTGACGAGGGACATACTTGCTTTGTATTTTGGTATCAAACAAGCCAGAGGTAGGACTACTGCCAATAGCACCAAAAGCGTCATTGCGATTGGCACCACCAGCAGGCAGGCAGGACAGCGGTTTCCCTCTGGAAGAAGACAGAGGCGTGGTCACCACACAGCTCTCCGCTGTGGCCCTGCATTCCCGAGTCAGCCGGCCGCTGTGCGTGCATCCCACCCCCTCGGGAGCAGCAGCCGCAGTCTCCGAGATGCAGGAAAGCTCTCGGGCACGGTGCTAGGGTTCCAAGCACCAGAAAGGTCTGCGTGGATCCCGGGCAAAGCCCTTGGTTACAGGTGCGTGGGTTGCGTCCCTCAAACACCACTGTTTTAGGACGCGCTGGTTAATGTCACACCCTGTGTTAATAAGCACTTTGCCGTTCCCACTATACCAACAGCAGGGAAAGATTCAGCGAGGTTAGGTGTACTTCCTAAGGCCACACAGCTAGTAACCCGAGAGTGGTGATTTGCAGTTAAAGGCTGGACCCCTCCCGGAGCAGAACTCCCTGAACACCGGGGTGTGGGCTCTGTTCCCTCAGGATGGGGCTGGGGGCGGTGTTCAGCGCCCAAGAAGGCTTTGGGGTTTTTTTGCTTTATCTTTCTCCTCCTGGCTCGGCGAACGTAACTGGAAGGTCAGACTTCAACCTGGAATTCACAGCCTCTTCAGAGCTCTGTACCAGGGCGCAGCCGCGTGAGAAGCCGTCCTGCTATGGTCTGGACCAACAATGTCCCCAGCAGGAAGGAGGTGCAGCTGGCCGCAGCTGGGAGGTGAAGTCCTGCCCCGGGACCTTCCCTGCTTTCTGGCCCCTCAGCCTCTCGTTTCCTGGGCCGGTCTATGCCAGTGTGTCTTAGAGTAAACGACGGTGGAATGACACGTGAGCTGCAATGTCTCAGTCATTGTTCCCACTGCTGAGCCAGAGTACCTGACACCCAAAACTAAAGGAAAATGGCTCCTCTAGCCCAGTCTGTAGAGGCCACAGTCCATAAAAGCCAGCTTCCAGGTACAGAGGACAGTTCATGGGGGGCAGAAGGCAGCAAGGACCCTCACAGGCCTTTCTGCCCTCGTGTCTCATCCGGGCTAGTCAGGGCAGGCAGCACTCACGCCATAGTGTCCTTGAGCCTAGCACTGCACACCAATCAACTCCAGCGTCACACACTGGGACCCAGCCTCCTCTGAGGAAGCCCTGCCGAGGACTTCATGAGGGGGGACATCTAGGCACAAGCCAGAATGTACAAGAAACCCTTCCTCCCTTAAGCTGCGTATGTCAGATATTTTGTCCCAGCAACAAGAGGCTGACCCACAGCCCCAGGCCCAGCCTGGCATGCTTTCCACCTGCTCTCACTTGCAATCCTGGGGCTCTACTGTGCATGCGGACCTGCAGCCTACACAGCGAAATACCCCCGAACAGCTCCCTGGCTCCAGGCTGGGGGACCTCACTGCCCCACCATGCCCACCCATGGGGCAGAGACTTGGGAGCCCTGGAGGCGGGCTCTGACCAATGGGTAGGGAACTAGGGTCTGGTACCCACACCATGGAATGCAAAAGTGAGGTACAGCTTCCGGAGGCCTCGCGGGGCGGGGGTCGCAGCGATGGCGGCGGGTGGCAGCGATCCGCGGGCTGGCGACGTGGAAGAGGACGCCTCGCAACTCATCTTTCCCAAAGAGTTTGAAACAGCTGAGACTCTCCTAAATTCAGAAGTTCATATGCTTCTGGAGCATCGGAAGCAGCAGAACGAGAGTGCAGAGGATGAACAGGAGCTGTCGGGGGTCTTCATGAAAACTTTGAATTACACAGCTC